GTTTGTTTTAGCACAGTGTTCACGACCTCAGCAATTATTCATCCCAAACAAAGAACAATAGAACTGTACAATTGTGATTCAACAATTCATCAAAAGAAGTTCAAACTAAATTAGAGTTTAAAAGGTTGTGTCATTTATCTAAAAGATATCTGTTTTGCATATCACACCTTTGCGTCGATCTTACTATCATCTGCTCTGACAAAGAGCTAACGCTCGAAACGTCAGCTTTGAAACTTGGTGTCCAATTTACACTATCAACTCAGTTGATATAACCAAATTATTTTACTCTCATTGGCCCAAGTCGAGTGGTTTTTTTTATACAATTTAAAAACCTCGACTCAAACGGGTCAGGTGGAGAATAGAAGGCTATTAGAATTTTGGACCGTTACTTCAATCTTTGTTATTAAATTTTTTTATTAATGCATTGTATGAAAATTTTCGCTGCCTTTTTTTCTTGGGATAAACAGATATCCAATATCTATCTTGCAAAAAGCAACTGACTTCAAGACAAGTAAGAGCTTGTGTTTAGAATGCAATTTTTCTTGCCGAAAGAAACTGAACTGTCAGATGTCCACCATCCTGAGGTGTGATCCATAAATCTTGAAAATGCAAAAAAAACATTTGACCTCGTTCTGGAAAAATCAATCACTGCTCTAGCGCAGTAAAACTAACGATTAACCCTTTGATCCTTTATAATGACTTGCATCTAATTTACCCTTACAATATCACCCCTGAATCGCACATTTAATTCATGAGAATAAAGCAAACGATCACCAACTAAAGAAACTCTTGATTGTAAAACCAATTCTTATTGTCATAACCTTAAAAAATGAGTACAGTGTGCAATTTTGCACGTTCGGGTGTATGGGTAAAAAATGTGGTTACGGAAACAATATTTCTCTACGCTTCTCTGCTCTGTTGTTCAATTTTTTTTTTCAGGCTGACATGCTTACAATATATGTTGAATTTGAAGCACCGCGTCAAAAGGGCTGAATAAATTCATCACGTTCGAAGCTCGGTCTCATTCAAAATCTGTTTCCTTCTTTGCTTAAAGCACTAATTTTTCTAAACATAGTTCCGAAGAAATTTCCTATTCTTTGTTGTGGGATACACCAAAGATTGTCCTATGAGACATTCGCATTTGCAAGACCAGAAAAGGGTAAAATCGAGCTAACAAATGAGCTCTGCATCTCTGTAAAATTAATTATTTTTAAAGAATATAGCTCTTTATCGCAACACTCTGTGTCAATAAGGAACCACTAACATGATGAAGGAGCTAAAAGTAGTTTTCTAAAGACATTATTTCTCATTGTTTCGATGATATAGCAGCAGAATATTCTGATCTTATATACGATGATATCTCAAGCCTCGAGGATTTACAGCTTCTGCTTGGGGTTGATGATTGTCAATGAGAAGGGTTCCCGCTTTCTAACTGAATAGATCATCATATAAATTATGTAGATAAAAAAAAGGTGTGTTGTGTCTGCTGGAATCGAGGAAAAAAACACATCTCTAGCAAGTTAACCCACAATTAATTGAGAAGATTTGTATTTTAAATTATTCTCCTTCAAAAGAGTATTGGGAACAATGAATTTTAGAAAAACGTACTAAGGGAACTACATAATTCTGAAAAAAAAATAACATATGGATATGTAATTGGAGAACTGTGATATCCCACAAGGTGGGAACTTCTAATCTTTGGAAAAAAAAAAAAAGCGGCGGGCGGATTAAGAACATCAAGTACAGTATTTTATAGGGATGGCACTACATGACCGTTATACGACGATCTTACAAAGCAGGGAAGTATTATACATAATCACCGAAATCTTCTACGTGACTTTTAGGCTACAGACTCTTCTGATACACCTGCCAAAACTGAGTGTTACTTTCACTTGTTAATTGGACCAACCTCCTTTTCAATTTGAAACGCTTTTGTAGATATTTTCGTACGCCCAGTTTCGACCAAAAGCCACAATAATGGTACTCAATGTGACATGAAAAGGACAAAGGAAACAAACAAAACAAACACAAATAACTGCCGACAATGCAAACAACGAACAGTCACCCAAGCAATTAAAGATTAACAATGGCTCGCCGTTAATCGAAAGCCAGCTCGATGATTTCTAGCTAGTGAGCATGTCCAAGGCGTCAGATTAACACTGGAATAACTATCCTGAAGCAGTCATTAAAAATAAATATTCAATGCTTGCTCTCGATTTCTTGAGCGAAATTATTGATATTTGCTCATTAAGCGCGGGAGAACGATGAAATATCACTCGCTTATGTCGTTAAGTGCACTCCGGCGATCGCAGCTCGCAAGAAGGTTCTATTTTAACTGAGCATAAAATGTTTCACGGCAACAAGATAGAAGAATAACGCGCAAAGAAATCCTGATCGCAAACTAATTTAAACTACACGTTCATCTGTAAGCAAAGTGGTCTAATAACCAATAACTTTAATAACATGTGCTAGGTTAGATGACACAAATTAGTTCCAATTCCTTTGAAACATTTCTAACTTTTTCGGCCGATCGCAGGGCGAAAACAAATCTACCCAAGGATACGTTTTAGCACATCGTGGTAAGAAAAGAGTAGTAGAAACAATTCCAACAAAATTTATATGTCAAAAGATCGAAATGAAAGAGCTTTCAAATTAACATCGTAAATGAGATATACTATTGTTTACCTGAGTATTTCCAGGTACAGTCCAGATGTAGAGCGAAATAGATTCACAAAGAGTAAAAAACCAACGTTTTTGTCGGTTAAAAACCCGTGCAACGGTCCATCGCTGAAATTATCGCCTTTTCAGTTAATTGCTATGTTTTGGTGCGCCTGATGTTTCGATGGCCGGGAGCCAATGAGGTTATGTTGTGGTGAAATTGGGTGATGGAGATTAAAGATTTAAAACTTTTCATTTCTGACGGGTTTGTTTACTCTTGGAAAAGGAATAAAAAATAAGCGTTTTCTTTCACACAAAGACAAAGAAAACTTCACCAGATGTAACAAGCTTCTTAGACATTTTCAATTTGGCTTAAAAATAAATTCTAACAAAATAATAATAAACGAAAAGGAAGCGAGAGATGGCAAAATATTGCTCAAAGGGCGTCTGTAATTAAATGGCGTGACACGAAACGACACGTAACGGAAGGGTCACTATTTTGACGGAATAAACTGTGCCGACCAATCACAAAATTCGTTACATAATTAAAAACAGGTGGGTAACCGGTGATCCACGTCCTCTCGACAATTTGGATTGGTTGGCCGGGAAACGCGTCGAGGAATAATAAATTCGCATTCTCCACGGACAAAACAAAAGATACGAACACATTCGGTTCTAACTTGTTTCGATTCTCTAGAAGCTTAACTGACTTGCGTTTCATTCAGATTGAAAGTAATCTCGAAACTCTCCAAAAATGCGGAATAAAAATTATTAGATAGGAAACGGCAAATGCTAACGCTCAATCTTGCTCAGATTGGTGAGATTCTGTTGTAATCGTTGTGAAGTCGAGTAAATTTATAGTCAAGTAACAAGTCCAAAATGCAAAGTATTGTATTAACGACTCGCTCGTGTGTAACGTAGAAAAAATCACTAGCACAAGCAATATCACTGACAACATCGGTTACAAGACTAAATTACGTCTATATTAACATAAAGTATCGCAATAAAAATAAAACGCTAGGAGTAGAAATCTTGTTTCGTCGAGGCTTACAAAAAAACCCGAAAATTTCCCACCTTGAAACAGTCTCGCTCTAGCAGCGAGTTGACGAGCCACAACGAAAGATCGCACCATTCCATATGTAAACTTCACTCGAGCCACCGGAGTCAAGAAAAGGTCGCTTGTGAATGACACAATTTACAGCACATTCAGATGAGTATTCAGTTCGGATCAAAAAAGCAATTAGTCCGCCGTTTCATCACAAAAATAGGCCGTTCGTACTACTGCTGTAAGCTGGTTCCATCTTTCTTCCGGCGTTAATCCCGTCGGGAATTTTCTTCGCAACACAACAGGACATGGCGTACAGCTTCGACTCGAGACGCAACGGCTTTCAGCGGATATTAATGTTTGGCCTGGCCGGTGGATATTGTCATCAATATTTGCCTGGGAATTTGGTTTTTGACTCCCACAAAGGTTACGTATATCCAGGCAACCGGCGCTATCGGAGTAACGATGAATAAACCTGACTATATTGTTGTAAACGATCGAAAAACCTTTTTGTTTACACTTTGCAAAACAAAAAATTTTTTCAGCAAATGAGGTGTTTCAAAATGAGAAGAGTTGATATTTTGACTGGCGTTGACAATAATTCTCGACAATGTAGTTTGCCGCGAAACAATGTACCTTGAGAATGGAACCGACAAAGTTTATTTTAAATTTGAAAGTCACATTTCAAATTAATTTGTAAATTAAAGGTTTACGAAGTTTTTTATATGACAAATTTCAGCTTTACCAAAAGAACACGTGATCAATTTAGGGACTGAAAATCGCTGTCACGCGAAAGAATTTCTAGGGAAAAAAATAAATGCAGTTTTATTCTTAAAATTCAGAGAGATATTTTGTTTATTTGTTTGTTTTGAAAGTGACAGACTAATCAAATCGCCAAATTTATTTTCGCAGGGTATTCATGAAATCATTGGACATCGCTATGGCAGCAATCAATCGCAAAAATCACGATAACAATTTTAAAAAGTGTCCTCAAGTCAGGTCTTTTCGACACTAGTTCTAAAAGTCGGTGCGATAAAATGATAGACAGTGCCTTTTTTTTTTTTTTTTTTAACCAGTCTCACATAAACTCCTTTCACACATAAGAGCCTTTCCATATACGACGGGTGAGCCAGAATGGTACTGCTTACGAGAACTCGCCCTACGACGCTTTCTTTTTGAAAAGCCATCATGATGATGTTTTTGTCTTTCATTTGCCAATCTTATCTTTAACCTTAATCGTACGAGTCAAGCGCACGAGACGAGCGAGCGAGAGCGACCACCCTTACCCACTTCCCTTCGCGTTCGTTAGAGAAGTATCCTCAAAAAATCATTTATCTTTCCACCGCTATAAAAAGGCGTACATCAAATTTTCTCGTAGAGGTGTTATGAGGTTCCACAGAGGAGGCATCCGTTGGGATGCTGTGTTTAAATTTCTAAAAGTTCGACCATGAACGCCGCCATTTCTAAAACAATGACTAACCCAGCTGCAAGCACAAATAGCGGAAATCATCAAACGCGCTTCGCGGATACGGCTATCAAAAAAAAATTAACAACAAAAGTAGGAGAACTGGAAACATGTCATGATAAAATTAAAGTATAAAGAACACACAGTTATCGCAGTCTGAGTGATACCAGGGCAACACAAGAAGCAACGAAACTTTTTGGTCCTCTCTCCAAGAAATATCCCTTTATTAAAATTCACCGTCATTATATAAAAAAAAAATTCTTATTTTCTCTTTGATAGCAAAGTATTTAAAAATATTAATATTTTTTGTTTGATCTTACAGCAATCCATCATTTGAGATTATTTCTTTAAGAAAAAGTACATAATATTGCCTAGGGTTCCACAATATTCGCTTTACGAGACCAGACATTCTCCACTTAAATTTTTTTCATTTCCTATATGAACATTTCAAATATTCCTCTACCGAACAACGTATCTATTTGTTTATAATTTATTTATCAAGTAAGGCACATACTTTTAACCATTGCGTCTATGAAAAATATTCAGTTTATATTATTCTGTATTTGAATTGTCATTTCTGAAATTTAACTAACCATATTTAATACAGTTTTTGATATTCAATTCAAGCATTCACCTGAGTCAACGAGGGCATCCATGCACGAAAGAAAATTTTAAGATTTGTTTTCTGTTATGTCTTTCACGCGTCTTTTCAGAAAACGTCACAAACAAATAACGGACATGCTGACAACCTAAATGCCCTCAATTAAAAAAAGTTTAGCCTGGTAGGTGCCGAAATCGAGGAATATTTTGGAAAGCCAGCCGTCTGACGCGGGTGGCCAGAAACGGCGGGAAAACTCAATAGGCCAATCAGAGAAAAGAAGGCGGCTGCCCTAGTTCACTCAGACAATACAGATGAAACTCACCACATGTACAGATCTAGATTAAAATGTTACAACAAACATTACGTTTTACGTATTAACACATCAACAGATCTGTGTGCGACGACCTCTTCCCCACCCTCGTTTCCCCACCTCGAAAAACGGAATTGTAAGTATCATAGTTTTACAAGATTACCCACGGTTAGCTGGCTACAATTAGAACATTTCTGAAAATATTTTGATAAAACGAGAGGTAATTTCACCACCAAACGACACGCATTTACAGTACAAAATGGGTAGCTGCTAAACTACATATTGGGGACTCTGTTGGTTTCTTCTTTTTCAAAAGACAAAAAGCAATGACAGTTTGTCTCCAAGTAGTGTATTCACCACCAGATTTCTCTGACCATTCCCTTTTCCCTAATTTCTATAAAAACACTATCAAAACTCTTAAGTAAATACAAACAGAATTCTGTTTAGGAAACGAAAGCGCAACAACCTCTTGGTAAATTAACAAGATTAGGGGACGTATGGAGATACATGAAAAGCTTCAAATACTAATGGTAACTTTAAAATACGTGCCAGGTACCATTCCATGATAACACGGATCAATGTCAGAATCTAAACAACTGCGCACCTACCCCTTCCCAAAAACAATAATAGTCAACTGATAACATGTTAGGATTAAAGTTTGGTTAAGGGAAGTTTACTGACATTGATATGATCACAATATTTTAATACTATAAGCAGTTTTCACCACAACACCTGTTCCTGATGCAAGGCTTTGAGCTGACCAATCTCGCCGCCATAATGATCGTTCAAGCTAGCTTCCAGTCTCCTCAACTGCTGCTGGTAATCCTCGTCCAAATCGGTCCGCAACTGTTGCATCGAGGCGGAGTACTGGTTCTCTAAGTCCGAGCGGGTCTCTAACAGATTTTTGTTGTACTGCTCTCTGATGTATTCCTCTTTGGACAAGAATTCCATCTCTTTCTGATGGAATTCGTGTTCCCATTCCTGCAGTTGTTGCTCTTTTTGTCTCATTTCCTCCTCGAGGCGTTCTTTCTCGTGTAAGAGCAGCTCTTCTTTATCGAGCAGTTTTGACTCAATAGCTTCCAGTTCAACCTATGGGAAATAAATCTCTGATAGTAAATACAATTTTTTTTACTTTTTCTACACGAGAACTGTGTCGCAGTTCATCATGTAGTGCTTAGCATTGTCTAAGAGAGAAAAAAAACTGATAGTTTACAAATTCGGTCCAACTTGAGTCAACTCAAGCCATAATGGGGGGAGGGGGGGGGTTTAAGAGGTAAAAGGAAAGTTAAAAACTACTTCAGAGCTTACCGCGGTTTTTATTGCATGAAGTGACTTGGAGTGTTCTAAACCGGATGCTAAGCTATCGGAGATAACACCTGAGAAGGGGGTTGGGAGTGGGAAAGCAGTTATATAAGAGTGAAATGACTTGCCTAAATACGCAACCTAATCCCTCATGACGAAACTCGAGCCCGCATTACTCGATCCGGAGTTCAGCGGGCTAACCACTTGGAGACTGCGTCGACCACAAATCGAGTGAAGTTAACTCAACTCAAGTCATCCGCGTCACTAGATGACTTCGAATCAAAAATAACATTCCTTTTCGAGACAAACCTAACCAAAATTGAGAAATATTCATCCACACTACACTTGAACCGTCTTGAGTTACCTGAAGTTCGTTCTTTTCCTTCCTAAGTTCCTTCTCAAACAGATCCTTCTGCCTGATGATCTCGTTTAGTTTTGCTTGCTTGATCAACTGTTCTTGTAGGGCAGCTCTCTCACGACTCAGTTCTCGCTCCAACACTTCCTTCTGGCGAAGCTTCTCAGATAGTCGTTCCCGCTCAAGTCTAAAGAACAAAAAAAAAAAACCCGAGTCAGAGACTTAAAACGATTAAACTGGGGGGAAAAAAGAAAGAGCTTGAGCGCTGTTACAATACACACCGATAAATTTTCGAAAAAAAGATGGAATCCTCTGGGTCCAATATCGGACATAAGGTCGTCTAACGTGAACGAAAAAAACGAACACCCTAAAATCAGAATCTAGACGAAAGAGGTAACTAAGCATCCTACTCATCTACCTTAAACTATCTTCTAAAGCGTTCTTCTCCTCCAGCACGTCCACATAAGAGTTGCGGTCTTTCTTTTGTTGTTCAAGCTGCTGTAACAGTGAATCTCTTTGACTCTGAAGCACGAGTAACTGACGACCGAACGCGTCCTGCACATCATCGGAGACTGAGTCCGACGTTGAGATCCTGTCACGCAACTCCTGCGTTTGACAAATAAATGAGAAATTTAACTGACTGGTTTGTGAAGCAAAAGAGTAACCTTGAATCTCTCGCAATGTGCAACCACAGCATCGTGAACGAAAGGACGCAAAAATTCCAAAATGATACTTTACAGGTAAAAGGGATCCTACATAAATTTAAGTGAAAAAGACAGACTTTAACCATACCGTTATCTTCATTTTCCAGACTGATAATCCTCTGGGCGCCCCCATGAAACGTTTTGGACGAGAAACTTAACGTATTTTCAGGAAGGCAGATTTCACTCAACTATCGAGCACTCGTTGAAGATTAGGAAAACACATAAGACTTTCGGTCAAATTTCGAAAAAAATTTTAAGTCTTTCATATAATTTTTAACAATTTTTTTTTTGTTCATACCACACTCCACACACACCCAATGAATAGTACATACAAAAAGAAGTATTCACCTCAATTACTTGCTCGTGTTGTTGCAGTCTTTCCGTCAGTTCTCCCCTCTCCTTCGCCAATTCGGCGTCCTTCTCCTTGATCACATTCAGCAGCTTGTTCTTTTCTTCTCTTAGCTCACCTTCGACTCGAATTCTCTCCTGAAGTCTCTCTTGCAACAAGTTCAACTCCTGAAGGGACTCATAGTTCTCCCTGTCCATTGCGGTCAATTGCTCCTCAAGCTGTCTTTTACTGAGTTCCAGCGCGCGTTCACGGGCTTCTCTCTCCTGCATCTCAGCTCTGTAATTTTCTCTTTCCTTATCGAGCTCTTTCTTTGTCTCCTGCAGTTGCTGGCTTAGTTTAACTTCGACCATGTTTTTCTGTCGGACCAACTCTTGCATCTGGTTGAGTTTTGTTGTTAGATCAGATTGCTTTGAGACAGAACCTTAAAAAATAAACGACACAAAAGAAAAAATGGTTATGGGCATCAGGTCCCGAGGCATCCACTTAAACTCTTGGTTGATCTTCTTTTCCGGCATTTCGCTTCCATCTGTACTAAGCACAATTGAATTTAAAATCGCCTATATGTTCAAGTAACGCTTAACTCCAACGAGGGTCATTTCTAATAGCAACACGCGTGGGTCTCGCGCACTTCACGTGCTTTGGACTATCGCTGCTGGACTTTTTCAATAAGCATGTATTTGTTGAATATTTAAATTGCATAGTGTTTCCTCCTGAGCATTTTGATTTTCACAATCAACCAAAAGTTGATTGAGGATAGATTACCAATCGAAATAGATTTTGAAGTCATTAGGTTTCGAGCAACACCTTTTCTTCGTAGCATAAATGAAAGTAATGAAATAAAAATCTCCATACCTTCGTTAAATCCAGCACCGGGTAAAACCTCCAGAGTATCGGCAGATTCTTGTACAAACAGTGGTTCCTCTTGCACAACCTGACTGGAGACAGGGCTGAGACTTGGCTCCAATGGGGCCGTCATCTGTTCAAGCACCCTATGAGTATCTGTCAGCACCTGAATCTCATTCAGAAGCCTGTCCCGCTCGCTAGTTACCTCAGAAATTTCCTGGTCCTTGTTTGCCAACTTGTTTCGTAATCGGGTATTCTCCTCTTCTTCCTTTGCAACTTTATACAGCAACGCTTCTTGCGCGGATGCGATCCTTTCTTCGCTCTCTTGTAGGAACTGTTTCTTCAGCCGTGAGATTTCTCTCTCCTTCTCCTGCTTCAGCTGCGTGGAGATCACCAGCGGGTCATCTTCTTCTCCAAACGCCAGACGTCCTTCACCAGTGTCTGACAACTGCTGCTCGTAGTAACTCCTTAAATCTGCCACTTCTTGTTGATGCTTCTCAAGGACTTTCTCAAGCACCTCCATAAATTCTTTTTCTTTGTTGCTAACCGCATCGACAGCCTCTTTCTCTAATCTTTCTCTTTCATTCTGTGCATGCTCTTTTAACGTTAGTATCTGGCCCTCGTAATCTTCCTTCAGTCTTGCAACCTCTTCACTCTGTCCCACTGAATCTCCACCTCCTTCTTCACCTCTAAAACTTCTTATCTTCGTCTCCAAAGCTTCTTTCTCCTCAGACAACGTCTTGACTTTTCTCTCCAATTTTTTCGTCGCCCCAAGGTGTTCTGCCTGAAGTGCTTTCATTTCGCTCTCGTGTTCCTCCTGAGCTCCCGATTGTAATTCTCGCATCTGTTCCTCTAAGTTGCTAGTGTACTGAGCAAGATTCTCTCTGAACACCTCCATTTCCTGTCCGTGCGTCGCTTGCAGTGTTTCGTTCTCCGATTCTAAGTCCTTCACTCGCTGCACTAGCTCTTGAATCGCTTTCTTATATTGCGCTTCAAGGTGAGCTTTGGTTTCGGCAAGCTTTTGCTCGTACTTCGCAGATTCATTGCCAAGCTCTAACACCAACTGTTTCTCCAGCTCGGCTGTTTGTTCTTGTTGTTTCTGCATGGATTGTTCATACTGCGCAACGTCGCTGCTGTGTTCTTCCTCAAAGCTCGACAAGTTGTCTTCTAGTTCAGCAATTTCCTTTTGTTTTTTCTTTAACTCGTTCTTCAGCTCGCTAATTTCACTTGCACTTGAAGTTTTCATGTCTTTCAACTGTTCTTTCAGATCTTCTACAACTGCATCTTTCTGAGCAACGACATCTCTCGCCCGAGCTAAATCATTGTCAAAGTCTTCTTTCATCTTTTTCATCTGTTGTTCCAAGTTATGATTGAACGCGATCTGCTTGTCTGAAGTTTCCTTCAGCACGTTCAGCTCACTTTCGTGGATTTGTTTCAGCTTCTCAATCTGTTCCTGCCTTACTTTGTCCACCTCGAGTCCCGATTCCTCCAGTTGCTCACTCATCGATAGTTTCAGATTCTCAAACTCGGCGACATGTTTAGAACTTAGGGCCTGTAACTCATCTTGGTGCTCTACTCTGAGTTTCTCAATTTCACCAGCATTCACCTCTTGAACATCACGAAGCTTTTCCTCCAATTGATGCACATTACCCTTGTGTTCTTCTACCTCACTTTTAAAAGTTCCAACATCGGCGTTTAGCTGATCAATCGTTCTAGTCTTTTCCAGCAGCTCCTCGTTAACTTGATCAAGCGTTCTATTTTTCTCTTGAATTTCTTCGTTCATTCGATCAAGTATTCTATTTTTCTCTTGCAGCTCTTGACTTGTTTTTTCAAGAGCTCTAATTTTCTCTTTTAATTCCTCGTTGATCTGATCTATAGTAGCCTTGTAGTTTTCTTCGTCTTTCTCCTTCAGACTGTACATTTCAATGATTACATTGTCCTTCTCCGATATCTCGCTCTGAAGATCTTCTATCAAGGATTTGGTGTCTTGCAGTTCTTTGGAAGCCTTGTTCATTTCTGATTGTTGGGTTTTGAGGCTACTGTCGCTCTAAGAAATTAAAATATATCAAACTAAATGTTAATCGCGCAAACAAGAGGAAAAATCTCAAAGAAAGACAGCTTTGTAGCTTAACACTTGTTCCCGCACAAACAGCATGCTGTTACTTGAGTTAATCCTACACTGCAGGGCCATTAAAAATAGGAAAAATGAAACCACTCCAAATCTGTGAGTCAAATTTCTTAGCCTCTTAAAGAGCTTTACCAACCTGTACTAGTTGCTCCTGAAGCATCTTAATCTGTTCAGTTAACTCCTTAGTTTCCAGGGTAGCGTCTTGCTTAGCATTTATCTGCTCACTTTCACTTTCTGAAAGCTTGGTCATCAACTCTCTCACAGTCTCTTCTCTTCTTTCCATGGCCTCTTGGAGCTCTAGCAACTGGTCCTGGGACCCACTCAAACGATCAGCAAGTTGTTCAGATTGAGTGCGGTACGTGGAGACCTTCAAACAAGATATTAAGGTTAAACGTTTTTATCATTGGGGGGCTTAGTTTTTTTACACCCTCACATCAGTATGCATATCCTCCATACTGTTCTCTATACGTTTCCTAAGATGGTGACAAGGAGATTTTGTTTAACAATCAACAGTTTCTTTAGTTGATGATCATTTCCTTTATTCTCATGACCTTAATGTTTGATTCAGGGGTGAGATTGTTGGGAGAAATTAGTTGCTTATCACTCTCAGATGCTTAGGGTTAACAACCAAACAGGCACTAGACCCCGTGGCGGTTGAAAATGAAAACTACTAAAACTTCAGCCGTTTACTTGCGAAAGCGACCAAGAAGTAGTTTTTCTGCACTATATCAAATCATTTGTAAGCACACAGGAAAAGAGAATTACGAAAAATATCAACTGAAGGACATTGTTAAATACCAGTTGCATCATGAGAAGAACTACATGGAAGGAGGTACAGCTATGAGGATAATTAACAGTGCGATCGCCGGAAAAAAAGATTTAACCCTATAACTCCCATTAGTGACCAAGACAGAATTTCTCCTTACAATATCAATACACTATCAACCAGATAAGTGATGAGAATAAAGAAATATATCAATTTGGGGATAATTAGTTGATCCAATTCTAAATTCTCTGAACTAACATTATTAGAATTGTATGGTTGACAGTAAGGAGAATTACAATTTTGATCTGGGAGTTAAAGGGTTAAGAGGGCTATTTCTTACAAGATTAAGAACTAGTACACATTCAGAAATACTTACATCACTTTCAAGCTGTTGAATTTGTGACTTCATCTGCTCGTCGTTCTTCCTCAGATCCTCAAGTTCCTCATCCTTCTCAGCAAACTGATCCATCAGCTGCATCAGTTTCTTGTCCCTCTCTCCTATCACTGTGTCCAACTCATTCTGCTTGTTCAGGAGCTGCTCTGACAGTCCATCCAAGCTTGTCTTACTCTCCATCAGCTGCTCTTGTACTGCTTCGTAATCTTTGCCAAGTTGTTCAACAGTTTGTTGCTTGATTTTCAGGTTTTCCTTCAAATTTTCCAACAATGATGACTCAGACTGTGAGTTGTCCTCCAGTGCTTCTACCTCACCCTGGAGTCTGGTGACTTCTTGTTCAAGTTCAGTGCATCTGGCCTGGCTTCTTTGAAATTCATTTTGCAGTTCTTCAAAATGACTCAACTCTTCTTTCTTGGATTCTAACTCTTTTGAAAGATCTTCAACTTTAGCTCTCGTGTCTTCCATATCATTATTTCCTTTTTCCAACTCTTCTATCTTAGCTCGCAGTTCCTCATTTTCATTGCTGAGTTGCTGAACTGTTTCTTGTTTAAGTTTGACATTTTCTCTCAAGTTCTCCATCTGAGATGATTCAGAAAGTGAGTTGTCTTCTGCCAAGGCAAGTTGATGTTTCAAATATGAAACTTGCTGTTCAAGCTCTTTGTTTGCATCTTGACTCTTCTCAAACTCTGACTGAAGAGTTTGTAGTTTTTCAAGCTGTTCATCCTTTGCTTTTGATTCCTCGCTTAACTCCTGGAGTTTCTGGTAGCTTTCCTCAAGAAGTCCTTTTACTTCTGTTGTCCCTTGGGCATCTAATCTCTCCTTCAGTTCTTCATTCTCCTTGTTAAGCTGTTCCATTGTTTCTTGTTTGAGTCGAAGGTTCTCTCTAAGGTTTTCCACTTCAGATTTCTCCTCAAAAGATTGATCTTCTACCCTTAAATTTTCAAGTTGAGCTTCAAGTGCAGTCACTTGCCTTCTACTCTCTTCAAGTTCGTTTTGGACGTTTTGTAAGCTTCCAAGTCTCTCCTCAAGTTGTGACTTCAAGTACTGCAAGTTTCCAATCTCACTCTCTTTCTCCCACAACATTTTAGAAAGTTCGTCCACTTTGTGAGAACTTTCTTGCACCTTTCCACTGGCACTTTCGTCAAATGATTTCAATCGTGCAGCAAGTTCACTGTTTTCTTGCTGAAGTTTCACTAAGACTTCCTCTTTAGCACTTAAGGTCTCTTTCAAGTTCTCCAACTCTGAGAAGTCTGTTTGCATATCACCACCTTGTGACCTCTGTTTCTTTAACCTTGTATTTTCATCCTCAAGAAACCTATTTCTTTCATTCAGTCCATCCAAAGTCATTTGCTGGGCGTTCATTTTAACCTTCAACTCTTCAAGTTGCCCACCATCAGGCTTTCCTTCCCTCTGTTCACCTTGTTCTAGTTTGGCTCGAAGATCCTGATTTTCTTTGTTTATGTCTTGGAGAATGGACTGCTTCATCTGTAAACTTTCTCTCATTTCTTCTACTTGCCTGCTGAGGTCCTTGATTACTGAGCCTCCAGACTGATCTTGCAACATCAGTTCAAGTCTTCCCTTTAACTCAGCATTTTCACGACTGATCTGCTTCAATGCTGCCTTTTTAGCAGTAAGCTCTTCTTCCAATTCTTGTGCCTTGTTCTTCAATTCATTTCGTTCTATATTTGCAATGTCATAACTGTCCAATCCACCTTCCTTTTCAAGGAGAGAAACAACAATATGAACAAAGCAAACATAATTATCAACTAGGAAAGAATCACATGCTTGCACTTGGCAAACAAGCCATGCAAAGAAACTGTACCATGCAGATACCAGCATTACCACACTGTAGAGATTGTAGTCAGTTAATAAAAGCTGTCAAAGAATATGTTGTCATGGCTGGTTTGCAGCAACATCATAATAATATAGCAGTTTTCAACAGAGTCAATAATAATCAAGGATTGATTTTGTTTTGCTTTACATGTCCTTTGCCTCTTGATAGGTCAGAAAACTTGTAACATTTTCTCAACCAATCAGATTCAAATATTGAAACCACTTGCAACTTGGTCATACATGTTTTCCCACCCTTCAGGCAATTTGAGCATTTTTTCTTTGGGTTGTCATTGGCTGCTCTCTGCATTTTCCTTCCGTCTGATTGGCCTTTGCTGTAATTTTTGTTTTGGTTTTAAGACTTTTAATCTAAAAGCAATCTAGTTGGAAAGTTTGACAGTATAACAGTTTTAGAAACAGTTAACACATTTGTTTCTGAGCCTGGTAAAATTTAAAATTCTTTAAATCTGCATTTTAAGGGAAGAACTGAACTCAAAACAATAAGAGCTTAAAAACAGGAACATTTCATAGACTCTCAGGGAAAAATGTGTTGCAGTCAAGTGGACCAAGTAATATTTTTAAGCCAGTGGAAAATTCAAAGGCTCCCTGAAGGCAACTACTTTAATTAATACAGTTTTTGAGGAGAAGAGAGGCAACACATTGACATAGCAAGTCACCATGTCATGTTCAACCTGAGAGTTGAAAAGCCATTCTATACCACAATAATAACCTAACTCTATACCACAACAATAAGTTAATTTTCACTCAACTTCTCAGGTGATCTACCCCAGAAAATAAAATGTAATCCTAAGGTAAATTGCACTTCTGTTTAACCCCTTGACTGCCAGTACCATTTGTAACCAGTGTGCCATGCCATTTTTGCTGAAAACAGGCGTCTTCACAAAAACTTCAAATAAACTGAAAATTACTTCTCTAAACTGTATAAACCTATACATTTCTGTGTCTTCACTATTTTCAGATAAATTGTACACTGGATTGTCCCTTTCACCTTCTTAATCACTACCAGGCTCAAACTCGCTGTCACTGGATGATCTTTCACTGCCTGAATCATTCCACACACTTGCTAATACATTGTCTGTACTGTATCCAGACATTTGTTCAGTTTTTCTTTTCAAAACATAACGTAATTAGCAGATTTGTTCTCGCAATTTTGCAACACGCACCAAGCAAAACATGAAACCGAGATGTCGGACAAAAATCAGACAGAAGGTGAAAACAAGTTCCCAGATTCTCTTGGGAACAAAAAACTAGTTACCAGTCTCCCACAAAATCTATTGTGGTTCTTGGGTGCTGGTTCAAATTGTTTCTGGTGGGCCGAGAAATTCGCATAAAGTCTTAAAATGTTGACATACTCAGTATGTCATATAGGCACCTGAGAGGAAAAAACCATGACATACTCAGTATGTCATATAGGCACTCAAGGGGTAAATTTGGTTGCCTCCTTTTGACAGGATTATTATGCCTAATTAGGGGCCAATAAATTATAAAAAAGCCAAGCCATACAAATACATAATGTTTTCTAGGACATTGTTACTTTTTTGTGTTCCTAATAATGTTGCAAAATAAGATATAAAAACAAAAACCAACAGGAAAATATGAATACATGCTCATATTATTTCACTCTGCATGGATATTCAGCATTCAAGCTTAGAAACATACAGATTATATATGTCTTTCGTTTGGAGATTATTGTGTACAAAGCAAGATGCTCTATGCAGACTAATCTTCACAAAAATTTTGTGGAATTATATCGATTCGGTGTCTGTATTAACCTGTCTACTTTTACATCCAAATAACAAGCTAAAATATAACAAAACATCCTGTAAAGGTGAAATTTCCTTTAATCTGACAAGTATTGAAACAGCTGCACACACTCATGCATTACAATTATAATTTTAAATTGCTTGAGGGGTTTTATAGTGCATGGGTTTATATTGTTGTAGCAACAAAACTATTTAATGAAAGGCACTGCAAACAAAGTTAAATGCAAATAATATGAGAGCCAGGGCCGAAAAACACCAGTAGATTTGACTAAATGGATACTTATGTTGTCAGTTTTATGATGCACTAAATTCTCCCAAAATCAATATATTTTCATGTCTGAACTAAACCTGGATAAGTGATTTATTCCTCTGATCTACGCACATAACTGGCCATGAAGTTAATTGTGCAAGCAAATAATTTCTTCCATATTGACTTCCCAGAAGGACAATCAAAGAAAGAATGCAAATGGAGAGGTGTTAATGACCACTTTGGTGAACTAATAAATTTTTTTCAAGATCACGTTTAAATTTTTCAAACGAAATATCATCTCGACAGTTTCGCATAAAATAGACAAGGAATCAAAATTGTAAACGAGTCAGCACACCCTGCTGTTCCTGTACAAACATTTGTCTAACAAGACTATTAAAACGGCAGATTACGGAAACTTGATATATATATATATATTATCCTTTAAAACAAAGCCACAACAAAACACAAGCTGCATGAACATAAATAAAAAGCACAGCTTGTTTCCTCACCTCAGAATAATCTCCGCTGGTATACTCACTCCCGCTGATATAGCTTCCCGATTGCGAGTTTTGCTCTTGTTCCGCCTGGAAATGGGTAAAATATAACAGTGTTGTCTTAATATTTTATGAGCATACAGCGTTGAAGGTCATTGACTACAAACACCGCGTCTTCCGTTGTTATGCGTTTGCCCACGCACCACGAAGCGCAAATACTTTTCTGATCAATTTAACTTCTTTAGAAAAACAAATTCACGAAAAAGTAGACTTAGAGAGCAACAAAGAAACACCAAAAACAACATATTAAGATCTGCAGCTTCTTGTGTATTTTCTCTTGAATATATATCGCACGGGTATCATAATCTGTTTATGCCTGAACATGCGATCTACTGATCTCAATATCGGATTTCCGAAAACTGTAGTTTGCGAGCCAAAAAGTCAAACTTCAAAACTTAAATAAAATCTAAACTCTGAGTTCGAACTTAATAAACACATAGTTTGTGTAGAAATAAATCAATTTTCCAACAAAAACTTTGTGAATATCTTTGCAACTCAACGTGTCTATTTCGTGTCAATATCAACGCACGGTTGCTACTTTCGTGATTCATTTCCTCTCTCACTCTGATCGATCTTTAAAAAAAAATATCTTTCAAACTCACGTCAAAAGGAATTGGAGAGCCCACTTCGGAAGCGATAGAAGGCGCATCTCTATCTGTGTCTGCCTGGCTAATTTCCTCCACTTCCACGTCTTCTCCTTCATTTTTGGGAACTTTTTCTTCGGCAGCAACTGCAGCTTCAGGTTGTGCAGGCTTCGTGCCTCGGTCTTGCGAGGTACTTCTTCGTCGTCGCTCTCCAGGTGAAGGACTCCGCGCCGAACCACTCGTTGAAGACCTGTCTTTTTTCTTTTTTTTCTTCGTCCCTGATCCCGATTTCTTCTTCTGGAACATCTTCAGCTGCAAGCAAAAAACAACGAGGAAGGATTAGCGTCAAAGGAAGAGCAGCTGAAATGCAAACTAGCGAGAGTAGTTTCTGAACTTCGCGCGCTCGGCCACGTCACACAGTTGAATTCTTACCTTTTCCTTTCCTGCTTCCAGTTTTTTCTGCCTTTCTGAATCGTCACTTTCCATGGCGAAGCAATCGAGAGTTTCTGTCTCGTCCACGAGGAGATTTTACGGAAATATCATTTACGCACGCTCCGATCCACTTTGACCAACACAACCGCCATTTTCAGGTTTGTTGTCGGCTCTTCGTAATCTTGATCACGTGAGTTCCGGTTACGTTCGGCTAATTTCCAGACTATAACGAAATTTTCCGAGACATGAGGCTGAGAAAGAACTGGGAAACAATGACGATGCAAATCACGATCCAAGTGCAGTGTGGGTAACTTGGAAAGAAAAAAAAAATCAATATGGCGACAGGGAATGAGCTCGATTTAGCCGAAGAAATGGCAAATTCCTCGCCGGAACAAGCAATGGAATTACTTTCCTCTATTGGTGGGTTACGGCTATAGTATTCAAGGCTAGCCTAATATTCTTTTTCTAACGAATGGACTCAATATTTCAATGAGAAGTAATTAGGGTCTCATGGATGTACTGTCTTTCAATGTCTTTTAGTAAAGCGTGACATTCGCACCGGAGATGAAGAGGGAATTAAAATGAAAGAGCAAGCCATTTTAAATCTTGGGAATATGCTGTCGAAGCACGGAAAAGCAGAGGGTATGAAATAAACCTTAGTTCATTTTTCCTTCAAAATAATTATAATAACTGACAATTCCTGACAATTCCATGGCCACTCTCTCATGATTAACGTTTCAGAATATGACTTCCTCGTAGTACCAGTGATTTCAATGAAATTAGGTTCAGAGGGGTAGTTAAGAACAGCAGGCTGTTAGTTTTGAAGGCCAGGAGGCCTTCGTTTCCTAAGGAAGCATGTTGTGTTTTGAGTTGGTTCAATTAAGGCTCTCTGTTTGTCTGAGTGGTCTAGCAATTTAAAAATATTTAGCTTTATCTTAAGAGTACAGTTAACCTTTGTGGAAAGGTTACATCATTGTAATCAGCACATTAAGCCAGCAACACATCTGGCAATTTTTGCCAATCACAGCAATTGGCCTAAATTGCCTACCGTGCCCAGTGCAGCAACTGCATTTTTTTACCAATCATCACAGTATGGGCACACAAAATCACCAATATCTGATATGCAAGATATCTGGGATTTTTTACACCTATCACAGTGATCAAATATGCCACAATCAGCCAATAAAATTGCCAGGTGTGTCATCTGCTTAAGAAGTAGATTGATCTCTTTGCTACACTACTGATATTGAAACCTCTAAGTATGTCCTTTGAGGGCCACTTTAAGTAACTATCATCTGATTTGTTCATTAGAACTGGGAGGACTAATCAAGTATATTCGCCCATTCCTGAAAATGGTATCAAAAGCAAAGGCTGCCAAGCTTGTTAGGAACCTGGTTGATTTGTTTCTTGATATGGAAGCATCAACTGGCATGGAGGTAGAAACTGTAGTTTACTACTGATTTAAAAAATAAGTGAGATACTACAAGCACCCTTATTTGACAAAAAATTATTGTGTATTGCTCTGATAGACCCATAGAAAAGTTAACTTAATTTTACAAAAGCAACAGACAGCACTATCTATTGAAAAAAAAGTTTGAAATTGCTCACCTCGAGCTACTGATTTATGAGGTATTGTCATGTTCTCCCAAAATCCTTTGTGGGTTATTGCACCTGTAAACCAATAGAAAGAGTGTTTTTTTTTTTCTGAAATATTATGAATCCTTTATCTTATCATTCCAGGATTATGGTTTTGATTTGATTCTCAAACTCTGCTACAAGTTAATGGTGAAAACAATTGTAAATGTAATTTTATATTCTCCTGTGATAAGGTTGAGCTCTGCAATGAATGTATTGATTGGGCCAAAGAGGAAAAAAGAACATTTTTACGACAAGCTCTTGAGGTTTGTGTTGATTAATCTAAATGATTGCAATTTAATGTCTATTATACATGTATCTGACTGTGAATCTCAGAGAACCTTGAAAACCAAAATTATCAGTGGAATTTTTCTTCTGTGTCAAGGAAAGTGCCATCAGGCATCAGACTAAACCACAGATAGTAATGGTAATTAATTTAGGGTTTTTAGGTTTGATTTATTGTTTTGATAGTGACTGTTAAGAACTCAACTGATCTCTTAGGAGCACATCAGTATCTTCCCAGTTTTCTGAGTTTCAAAATAAACCAAACTCCAGATTCTGATAGGTCCTTACATCTATTTATTTTGGAACACTTATTTTTGGATATTTTTAGATGCTGGTTATAAATAAAAAGTAGAATAAATCAAGAACTGGCTGACTCGTAAACTTCACAGAAAAGAGGGAAACTAAATTTTTTCCCTGATTTGATTTTTTTTGGTTTTTGCTTTACTTATAAACAAAAAATTCAAAACATCAAGATTTGTCAGTCATTTTATCCTTTCTGGGAAATTGACTGATTAGTCTTGACTGCTCTTGATCCAGTTTTCAAGGTTCAAGTCCAAAGGCATAGGGCTAGTTACTTACATGAGGTTTCACCCAAACCACAGTTTTATCCAGGCAGTGGGCCTTATGTAATCTTTACAAGAGGATTGTTGTAATTAAATAAATGTCCTTCCACTGCTAGCCTCTGGCCTTCTTGACACTGTTTACAATTATAATAAATGCTCAGATAAAAGATTCAGCTTAATTCAAGGTAGCTTAGAATGCTGTTTTGTTCATCGACGGCTAAACTTTGTTTAAATAACCAGCCCACAGTTCAGTATGTGGGCTATTGGTGATGATTTTTAACTTGAGGCATTGTCATACTTAATTTATTCTAGTGTGTCTTGATTAAAGTACTGGTAAATGAGGTACAGTGTATATCATTTTAGGGTATCCTCCAGTTTTGTCAACTTGAATAATAGAAATGGTGTTTTTTTGGTAGTATTTACTTGCCCACTTTGTGTTACTTTTCATTTCAGGCAAAACTGGTTGGTTTGTATTTGGACACCAAAAATTATACCAAAGCGCTGCAGTTAGGTAAGTATACAAGCACTGACTGAATTTTTTAAATTTCCATTTATATTATGAATACCTATTTCTAAGCCACAAATGACTTGAACCTTGTATTGACTGGTGATGTGGTCTGATTGTACAGTAGAATGTGTTCCTGAAAAGGACTGTTGTTATTAAGAATAAGTGATGTTTTGACAACCTGAGGTGAAGTCACCATCAGAGACAGGTGACTCAATTCTTACTCTGATGATAACCTAGTTGAATCTTATGGTGACTTTTTCTGAGGGTGGGGAAACATCAGTCAGTGTTACTGTCATTCTGACAATCTGACCTTATGGTTGCCTTTATAACTACAGTATAACAACAATAGACATCAGGTACTCCAAGGTGATGAGGTGGGGAGGTTTACAAAACGTGGTATTTTACAAACTGAGTATCTAAAGAACAGGGGTATTTGTTCTTTGAAAGTTTGTTTTGCCTATTTTCACTTTGAATATCATCCTTAAACAGGTTCAAAACTCTTAAAAGAGCTAAAGAAACTTGATGATAAGGCGTTACTTGTTGAAGTACAGTTATTGGAGAGCAAGGTTTACCACAATCTTAGCAACATTCCTAAGTCGAGGTAAAGTATTTTGATGTGTTTGTTGTGTTTTTTTTCGAGATGTTTTTTAATAGTATCCTTACCAAATTGATTTCCCCTTGAAAGCACCAAAAGTACTACTGAAAGCAAGGGCAGCAACCCTGTAAATCTGTGTTTGCAGTGAAAAAGAAAAGTTTATACAAATAAGCAAGTAATTGTCATTCCACTTATTTGCTGTTGATTTAACCTTACCAAGTGCAAGACTACCTCAGTGTGGTCAGCCATTAAATTTATATTATATACTGTCTTCACCTTCCATTAATTTTTATTTGTAACACAGATTAGAAAATTGTTGAAAATACCAGAATATTAATATATAAGCCTGCTGAAACAATTGCATCTGTAATGATTTTCCTGTATTAAGCTTGTAATGTTGTAGGGGATTACCAATAATTGACTTGTTTTTATGATCTATTCAAATAGGGCTGCTCTTACATCAGCAAGAACAACAGCTAATGGCATTTACTGCCCTCCGAAACTACAGGCATCACTAGACCTGCAATCAGGTACTTAGTATACAGTATTCTCATTATACCTACTTCTACTGTTGTCCAGGTTATATAATTATCTTCTTACTGACTAAGCAAGAGGGCTGTACTGGGGAATATTTGCCCTAGGTCATGGCATTACAGACTGAGCAACAAACAGCCAATATCTCTAAGTAGTGCTTGAGTAAACAAGATAAGTACTTGTAAGTAGTTTATTATATGGCACTCGATCCATATTTGATTATTTTGAATTTGCTAGCTTTCAAAACCAAAAATACATGGAAACAGTGTGTATGGCAAAATATGGACCAAGTAAGAACCAATCAGAACACTCAGATTTACCTCAGGACTACCTTGTCATAATTATAGTAAGACATATTATTCAGCATCAGTTGAACCTTCCTTTTAACATGTTGCTTTTCACCTCAGGTATTTTACATGCTGAAGAGAAGGACTTTAAGACTGCCTACTCTTACTTCTATGAAGCATTTGAGGTACATTTTGTAATTGATGAAAGGTGGAGGGAGTATAGAATGTAGTACAGTTAATGAAAGCAGATAGCTATTAATCACCACTCTGACAAAGGGCTAATGCTCAAAATTTCAGCTTTGAGCTCTGATAATACTAAATTACTCTGTTATACTCTCCTACCAATGCAGCACCACAGTTTCTTTAGAAACTTACCCCCTTTGTTCATTTAGTTTTAATCACTACCACTCTGACAAATCCAGTTTTTCATCTTTTCATATGATCACTGTTTTAAGGGGGTTGGAAACAGTTCTGCAAGACAAGTACAGACTATATTCAAAGCACTCATAAACCTGCTTTCACTCTTCCCTGTCAAACCAGTTGAATCCCAGTTATTATTCATATTTTTAGGGGAAAATCCAGGTAAAAAGTTTTTGGGGATGGTCTCAAAAATTATGGGACAGATTTTCTCACAACTGTAGGATTTTTTTTTTGGTTGCTTTGTTTTTTTTTTAGATACATGTAAGACCTTGCTCCAGAGTGAATTTTGCGATATGTTAATTTTATTAGCATTGCTGAGTTATTGGTTAA